CCCCAAAACCCCAAAACCCCAAAACCCCAAAACCCCAAAACCCCGATGCAGGGGATTTTAGTTGAAAACTTTAGAGTTTAAGTGGAGGTTTTTGAGATCTTATGAAATTTTCATCTGAATAGTATCAGGCTCAGAAAGAATTTTTGGTAGGGGCTTTGGTGGAGGATTTGGGGATTTTTAGTGACCCTGGAATGGCTCTTTTTATCAAGTTTTTACGATTTTTAGTCGATTAGGTCTCTGTTTGGAGTTGAATGTTGTGCTTATATGAAAATTACTGCATTGCGAGGTTTCTGAAGTCATTTAAAATTATTAGTTTGGAATTAATATGGGAGATGAAAAATTCATTCTGGTAATTTTTTATTAGAATCCTGGGCTTTTACCAAGCCAGATTGGTATAAGATATCATTTTATGCGCTATTAAAGACTCTCTAACCTCCTAAGGGCAGTTAAATAATAAGTTTGCTCAAATTCTCACATTTACAAAGAAAGTTGCTCGATTCTTTGACAGCTTAGTTTTTATAAACTTTGTTATAAAAATGTAGCAATACAGTGCGAATTTCTGAGAAAGAAAGTGCTCCGATCTGGTTATTAAATCAGGATCAAAATATCCTCTAAAATCTCTAGCAATCCTAATACTATTAGAAGAGAGTCGAAGTCTTATCTTCTTTCGTTGAAATGATGAGTTTCGGAATTTTCTGAAAATTTAATGAGAAGGATCGCAGAAATTCTCTACTAACTACGATGATTGCTTTACTGGAAAATTTGTCAGAAGAGCTATCTCTGTTGAAGGTTGATTTTTCATACCTTGGATCGAAATATTTCGACCCTGAATCTATCAGCTTTGGAGGGTTTAGAAGGCTTTGCTGCAGCTTTCAAGGCTCCACGGGTTTAAATATCTCTTTAAGAACAAATCTTGTTATGACTCGAATCACTATTCAGAGGATGAGTTCTGTTCACTAAGCTATTCAATTCGAGATAATCAAATTTTGTGATTAAAAATCTATTTTTTAGATCTTTCAAAAAGATATAACTGACATTAAGAAAGATCTCCAAGAGTTTTATCAGTCCCAAAGTAGGTTGGCAGAGACATTAAACCCGATGTTAATCCATGAAGCAGTCTTACTGGCTAGCAAATAGTAACTTTTTCAATCCTGATGAACTTTTCCTTTCAAAACTTTTTCGGTTCTTTAGTTTATTGTGTTAACTTAAATATAGGTGAGAAAGTGTAAAAATTAGATTTTATCAAATAAGGCTCATTTATTATAAATCTCATCCAAAGTAGGCTAAGTGATGTCTCTTTTGAAGTGGGTTTGGATACTTCTAAACAAGGACTTTAGCTTCAATAATCAATACTCGATTCCCGTGATGGTTACGAAAACTCGAAACGGTGGGAATTCCAGTAAATCAATCAGTTTGGATACATTGAAAAACTTTGATGTGCTTTAGAGGCTATATTACGTTAGGTTTACATGCTGAAGAGACTCTTTCTGCACTGTTTATTAAATCTCAGAATTGATTTTTCAATAAATGGAGGATACCGACCAGTCCTAACCTTCCAAAAAAGAAATAGTCTTGGTGGAAGAGGAGGTACCACATTGGTCTCTTAAGGATTAGACCTCTAAGGTTTTACTCAGTCAGGGTTTAAGAATCATAATATAAAGCTGAAACGAAACTGAAGCTCCGATATCCGACTTGGTGGTAATAGCTACTTGATTACACTGGAATCGATGATGAGGACATTCAAAATTCTATAAATCTTATCAATGAGGGTAGCTTAAGAGTCTTGCAACAATAATGAGCAAGAGGGTCTCTGCTCCTCATCAATAGTATCTGTTTGATTCCAACAAGTCAAGGAATGGCAACTGTTTAAATTTACTCTCTCAAATTTTGTGTTTCATATATTAAGAGAAATTAAGTAGTGGATTTTATGAAATATTCAGAAACTCAAAAGTAAGCAAGATTCTGTTAAGACTACTCTATTTTAAAGCAGATTGGATATTCAGCTCTAAAAGAGACTTAAACTTTGTTCTAGCACATATCGGTGTTCGAATTTGTGAGATTGTAACAAACCTGAAAATGACAGTTTCAAAATTGTAGACTTCATGCTATTTTGTGTAGAAATTTTCATAAGTCCAGCTTATAGAGAAGAGACTGATTTTGGTAATTATTAATAATGGCACAGTAAAAATTGAGGTAGTGATTAACATTTTCTTTCTGAAAATAGTCAACCTTGGTGGTCACCAGTGTGTACAAATCTTTATGTTTGCAAATAGAAATAGTATTTAAAAACTTAAAATTTCATTTTCATAATATTAAAAATGAATTTTTCCAATTTTGACAACGCCTCAAGTTGTATTGCTCTACCAATTTGGAGCAGCTCAGACATTATCAGAGAACTAAATGCAGTGTATTGAACGGATCAAATAGAGCAGGAAGTACAGAGAATTCAAAGTCTCTGCACTTGCCGATGTTTGAAGTCACCAGAGAAGCTGATTTCCCAATACAATATTAATGAAATTGAAACAAAAACTTCTGATATTAAGATCTTCCAGCATAACTATCAGGCAAGCAATGATGAAGAAGTAGTCCTTAAGCTGAAGAGTAGCATAAAGCCCAACAAATTATTAACAAAGAAAAGAAGCCGCTTTTCAGCTAAGAACGATATTACAAGGCAACTTCTTAGCCTGAAATGGAGTATCCTCAATGGTTATGTGACTAGATTTACTTCTTCGCATAAGAAATCTAAAAGTATCCATAAGAAGAATCTCAGAAGACGTTCTGAATACATTGGTGTTTCCCGGAATAATACGAACTGGCAAGTCCTAGTCAACGTCAATAAGGCTAATAAATATATTGGTACGTTTGGTGAAGAACTGCAAGCTGCCAGAGCATACGATTTGTACTCAGTTGCAATGAGAGGAGAAGCAGGGTCACTAAACTTCACCTACAGTGCTGAAGATATGCTTGAGAGAATCGAGTATTACCTTGAGCACAAGTGCGTAAAATTTGATTAGTAATATTTAATTATTTTTTAATGAGTTCACCAAGTTATAATTCAGCTTTCCCACTCTAGCCTGGGGTTTTGGGGTTTTGGGGTTTTGGGGTTTTGGGG